ATAGTAGTCCGAATCTTTCTAATTTAAACAATGCTTGTGGGTAGTATTTTTTTATAAAATTTTATTATCTATAATAATATCTTCAGCAGTTATCAAAGTATGAAATGTAATTTGTTTGATTTTATAATTTTTACATAACACTAGAACTACACATATGGGTTAGAATATATAATTTATCTAATTCTTAAGTAGTCATATCATAAATAGATACGACTATAATTTACACTAAACTTTTGTAACAACTGGATGAAAATGTAATTTATATTAAGCTTTGGTAATCGTATCACAAATGGGTAAAAATGCAATTTAAATTACGGTTTTGCAGTCATATCATGTCCCAAATGGGTAAGAATGTAATTTACATGAAGTTTTTAAAGTCATATAACAAATGGTTAAAAACGTGGTTTGCATTAAATTTTTGTATTCAATTCACAAATGAGTAAAAATGTAATTTAAATTAAGGTTTTGTAGTCATATCATATCACAAATGGGTAAGAATGTAATTTACATTAAGCTTTTATAGTGATATCACAAATGGTAAAAATGCAATTTGCATTAATTTTGTAGTCATAACACAAATGGGTAAGAATGTAATTTACAGTAAGCTTTTGCAGTCACATCGTTTTTTATTTCTACCTTTTCAAAATATTAAACATTATGATTTAACATTATGATATAGGAATCTGCTCTAGGTGTTTACGCACTATTGTATTGTTTTGCAACATATGAATTGAATAAATTGTAATGCTACAAATTTTAAAAATAAAATTAGATAAACAACCTAAATGAAGTCTAAACAGGTCTTGGAAATGGGTGAAAAATATGATTGTTGGCATATTTATTGAAAAATTACATCTTTATTTAAGTTACCAATCGCAGTTTAAAACTATTATTTCAATTACAATTCATTTCCAGCTAATATTTTAATGTATGTATGTTGCCCTTAATTTTTTTTAAAAGTTTTTGAATTTTATTAAAATACTTCTCAAGGTTATTCATTAATATCTGTAATACTTGTAAGTAAAACACTTGAAAATATTAAAAAAGAAGTTTAAAAAATACTTAATGTACAATTTACTCATAATACTTTATTGAAAGATAGAAATTACGAGGGTACTACGCTTTGTATTAAATATCTTATAAAGTGGGAAATAATTATGAACTAAAACTTTCAGAATACTCGGTAATTTTGCCAACATTTTAAAAGCATTACCGCGAGAGATCTGGAACCAAGTAAATTTTCATATGAACTTTTTTAATCATTTACATGTAGCTGGTGTGGAAAATAATCTTAAATCCAATTTCCCAATTCAAGAAACAGACATTAAAATAAAAACTTACCTACTGTTTGAAGAAATTTTTCCCAAAAGGGGAGAAAATTAGTAGCTTTTTTTCTTTACTTCAAACAAAAGTTTTTTTTGCCCAATAAAATACAAAAAAATTTCGAAATATATTACTCAAATTTGTTGGAGCTCCTTTTGACATACAAAATTTTTCCCCAATAAAGATTCCAAAGAAAAGTATTAAATTTTTACATTTATTTTTCCTAGTTTTAGAGTGAGACCACTGTGCCCCCAGAACCTCAAATTTCTTATCTGAAACAAATTTGTTCTTCTCATTTGCGTTTTTTTTTTTGAATTAGTGAACAGTCATATTGAGTTCATGCTAAATTTATTTTCTATTATTACTAATTTTTCTGCATTTTGCTTGTCTGAAAAATTAAGAGTTTGAACACTTTTTTTATTATTATTATTATTTTGTATTGTTGATTTTCAATTACGAGATGAGAGTATAATTCTTTATAATGGAAAAGTTCTACAATATAGCAGAGAATGCCGCAATAAGATATTTATTTTTTATTAAATTTTATTAAACATTTTTCATTATACATATTATATTTTTTTACATATTTTATTTTTATTATTATATATTTCTGTATTATTTATTTCATCATAATATTGTATAATATACATTATATTTGTATTATATCTTAATCCTTAGAAAATTTTTCGTGTTAAAAATTCATACGTTTTATTTGCACTATCATATATTTTGTATTTTATTATATATTATATTTGTTAAAGTCTTTTTTCGAGTTTGAAATTATATAAAATGATTTTAGTATTTAAGTTTATTATTTAATTCCAATAAAGCTAAAATTTATTGTAAAAAATGTTAATAAACAATTTAAAAAAATATTACTTTCTTATCACACGAAAATGTTCCATGTGGACAGTGGTTAACCAATGAAACCACCACCCTCCTTGTGGGACAATGAATCAGAATTTTTCTTAAGTGTAATTTTCATTCTTAGACCCTATGCATTATAATTAGTTGCTCAATTTTAAAAAAATATAAAAATTTGTATTCGCTTGCCTCAAAGGGATAAAAAAATTTAACCAAAAAGCGTAGAAAATTAGTAACTGTGTATAACTTTTATTTGTTATTTATATAAAAATTCATCATTGATAATATTTTTTTAAATTCAAATTAAAAAATAAATTATTCGAATTTTTTTAGTTTAATTATCAATGCGCGTTAAAAAATATATATCTGATTTTTATTTGAATAAATTAATGTATATCTTTTAATAGTCTCAGTTAATAAATTGATGCAAATAAATGGCGTTTATTAAAGAGGCTCTCTATTAGAAGGAGACAGGAAAATGTAGACATCAGAATTATGAAGCGTTTTTCTTTTCATCTTTTGAGTAATGAGTGAAAGATAAATTTATTCGATCCAGTTTAACCTTGATTAAATTAAACGGAAACACAAACTGAAACTTTTGAATAGCAGAGAATCTGATAACCTTTATTTACTCTTTCTCCCGTCTGATTTCGTAATCAGTTTATATGCATCATTTCAATGCTGGTTTTCTAACTGTGAGGATATTTAACTGTGCTTCTTTTTAAGTTTTCGAAAGCCTAATTATGTCAGAGTCAACTGAAATCGTGAACTATGTGACAAAAAGCTACCTGGCTCAAGAATACATAGCTGAATGGGAAGTTGATAAACTTTCTAAATTAGGAACGAAAAGTATTCGAACCCCAATATTTTGCCCGGTTCCGAACGTGAACATCAAATTCTGTTTCGAATTATGGTATCAGATTATCAAGATGGCAAAAAAGGAACGTGATGTGTCTTGTTTTAAATTGGTGTTGTTGAAATTGGAAGATTGCGACACGCCATCTCTGAAATTGAAAATTGACGTTTCAGTTAACTACTCGGATAATTCTGTGTACAAAGAGTATAGTAGTCCGATTAGTATTTCTGTCGAAAATATCGATACTGTAGTTTGTGCCGATGCTACATCGGAATTTTACAATTACTCAGGTGGGTATTATAATGAAGCTGTGCACAAAAAACGAATGGTGAGTGATAAGTTGTTTATAAAATTTCACACAAAATTCTATGGCCATTTAAGCTCGCCAGCAGAGTATCATCGAAAAATGGATAAGCTAGATAATTTGAAAAGCTTCGTGAAAGATTTCAAGTCCATCTACATTTCAAAAGCTTTCAGCGATGTAGTGTTTGAAATTGGTAGAAAAAAACTGCCAGCTCATAAATCAGTACTGGCAGCTCATTCCCCAGTTTTCCTAAAAATGCTTGAAGATGATTTCGAGGAATCAAGAACAAACACGATCACAATCAGGGATTATGGTTGTGAAACATTCGAGAACTTCTTGAGATATTTGTATACCGGGGAAATAGAAGACAAGACATGGATTTCCATGAAAGATTTGTACATTCTTTCTGACAAGTACGCTATAATAGCTCTGAAACAAGATTGCGCCGATATCATCGCTTCAAACATCAATATTGATCAGGTTTGTGAAGTTTTGGAAATGGCGTATTTCTACGATGATCAAAAATTAAAATGTGAAGCCTCTAATTTTGCTCTACAGCATTTTGACGAATTAGTATCCACAGAAAAATGGGCAGAATTAGTAACCAATGACCCATTGATTGGATATGAATTACTTCGCTTGCACAACGATGTTAACTCTCCGAAAAAATAAAATTCTAATACATATTTCTATATATTTCTAATATATAAGAAGAAATTCTTATACAATGATATTTTTTTAAACAACTGCTTGTGCTTTTCTTTTATAGAAATTTTAGACATCCATTAAAGAGTATTCATTATTTCAATTATGAATACTATTTGCATGCTACTATATCTGAATACCATTGCATATTAAATGTAAAATCATGTTAAGATTTTAATACTTCAGGGTTAAATTCGTGGTTTTTTGATAATTTTTAAGATGCGTTTTATCCGTAATAATTTAAACCATGTCTTTTATATAACTTCATGAATAAATAATAAGAATTCTTTATTTCTAATTTGAATATTATTAACACATTGCATTTTAATCACGTTGTTTAGATTTTTATGTTTTAAAATCTCCAAAAAGTTAGGCATTTACAGATATTTTTTTTTAATGATAATGAAAAAAATATTTGATTGATATGTTTAAAAAATGTAATATTGTATTTAACATTTATGATTTTAGAAAAACTATGGTTCAAACCGAATATGTTGTTTGTAAATTATAAACAATTTAATTGGAACTTAACTTTTTTTTAAAATAAAAATGTAATATTGTATTTAACATACGATATTTTTTATAATAATTGTGGTTTAAAACCCACATATTGAGAAATCATAAAAAAATTTCACAGCAACCTAACTATTTCACTCTAATAATTTTTTTTATGATTCATTAAGAAAAAATTAAATAGAAAGAAGTATGTTACATAATGCGTTAGAATATATTTTAGTAAATAAATGTGTTTCAAAAAATTAAAATATGATTTATTTTTTTGAATTTACTATATTTTCTTATGCATATTTATTTTCTTAAACGCAAAAATTAATATGAAAATAACAGACTGTTTACAGGTCTTATGATGATTATTATCAAAAAATCTTATGATTGTTATCAAAAGATTAAATTTTTTAAAAAATAAATCTGTTGACCAATTTATAGTAATAATCTTGCACTAGGAACAAAGTTCAGCAATGATAATATATTTCATTTCTGTGAATCAAAAAATAATGATTTACGTATAAAAACATACAAAAAAATATATTTAGCATGCATATATTATTTGATCATAATAACATATTAGGTGGATTTATGTATTTTCTAAGAAAATACAATAATTGAAGTTAAAATAAACATGTAGATTTGAAAAATAATTTTTTTTCAGTCATTCTTGCTTTACAGTGATCTAGTACCAAAATAATAATACTAAATAATGATAATTTGAATAGTAGAAATAAATACTTTAGAAAGAAAAGAAAGCTGCTTACCTCTTTTCTTGTCTTGTTCAATTTACTCCAAGTAAGTGAAATCGATAAAATAAAAGCTTTTTATTTTAAATTTTTGGTATAGAAAAAAACTTATCAAATTTTGCTTATAAATAATTTTGCTTATAATAAAACTTATAAATAATTGTATTTAGTTTTAAAAACTATCATCACACATTTCTCTTTTTTTTAAAAAATTACTTTTATCTGTTAAAAAAAATGTACTCAAATTCTTATACAATAGAATTCTATTATCTGAGTTATCAAAGATATAATTTTATTAGCTATTTTGTTAATCCGATTTTGATATTATTGCATTATAATTGTTTTCTTTTTTTAAGATTTTGCAATTAAAATTATATCACAATTTAATGATAAATTAAAACTGAAAAGTAATGTTAACATAAAAACAAATAGCAACTTGCTTTAAAATACTCAATTCTACCTCCTTAAATGACACATGGTGTGCCAGCATAGAGGCACCACTGATAAAATTTAGGGATTCTCAATTGTTACCCTTATCAACAAATTCTCTCCTTTTTTTTTTTTATCCCTTAAGCAACTTTCTTATGTAAGAATAGGAAAAAAAAATCATTCAACTGGCTCATGGCGCCATCTATCTTTGAGTTGGGAATGCATATTTATCAAAATATATCTAACATAAAAATATGTTTAACAAACTTATAATTAAGGTTAACATTCTCTGTAATTCAAGTCACAAAAAATATTTTGCACAAAAAACAACGTTTAAATTAATTTACGCTATGCATAGATTGTTCTAATAATCTGGGGAATATGCAATAAATTATGCCTTGACACTGAAACTATGCAAATACGACTAATTAAAATAGAAAATAAAATATTTCATTTATTTTCCATGTATTTTTATCTGTAATTTTCGATCGATTTTTATCTGTAGTTTGCTAAGAATTTTTATCTGCATAATTCAAATATTTTTTTAAAACGATGACTAAATAATATGAACAAAAAAATTATATAAGAACCGAATTGAATCAGACAAAAATTCTTTTATCAATGCAAAGAGAATATGAAGGAATATATACTCACAATATTATTGAAGTATGAACGTTGTTTTTAAATTTTTGTTTTAACCAGCTAGTGAAATTGTGGAATGGGATATCTTGTCAACTCTGTCACCCTGTGTTTACTTTCTTCAGAGTACCATCCTTGTCAATACTCAGTTCCTAAATACCCGTTCTGTAAAATACCTGTTAATTCGCACAGCGAAACTGTTACGTAAGAATTAGGCGAGAAATGTTATTGGCACATCAGCTTGAGTATTGAAATATTTTATATTACGAAGTCTAATGAGATAATTAATGTATTGAATGCTTATGAATTTTTTTTTTCAAAACAGGTGCGAAGCAATGAAAATATATAGATGATCTCAACCAATAAAGTATTTTGGTGATTAATCTATTAAATTAGAAAATTAAAATTTAATATTAATTACGATGTCACACAGAATAATGAAGCTCATATTTTCAAAATTAAAAAAAGGAAGTTTATTTTGGTGTTAGAAAAAAAAATTTAAATTTTTTTTATTTGTCCGAGAGTTATTTAAATCATCTTTAGCTGATAATTATACAAATAAGAAGAGGTCGTTCAAATATTATGTAAGTATTTATGGGTTGAAAAGATTTTTTATTTTTCTTGAACGAGATTTCTTTGTTAGATGGACGAGATGGTTAATTCCCTTAAAAAACGTATTGTCCAGTTGTTATCGCGAGAAATTACCATTAAAATACATATTGTAAATCTCGAGCCAAATGGCAAGTAGATTATTACATTGACTGATTATTACTGATGGCTGATCGATTATTCACTTTTACCGCTTTTGGTAATTATTAATGATAACTGGCGACATTTAATGTTAATCGATTATTTACATTGATGTTAAAATCTCGATAATATTGTTTAATCTTTTTACTGAAACAGTCAAGGGACTTGATCAAATTTGAATGATCGCTTGATTAATTGTTGGCCTTCTTTCTTTAGGGAAATGACCCCACAGAGTTATTATAATAATATTTGCCTTGAATTGATCATAACCCTTAGGAATTTGATCAAATATTCGTTTTTATCATTTCTCTGCGACATGTTAATCAGCAATGCTCTCAACATAAGCAATGTATTTAAATGTCTATGCGTCAATCAACCGTGTGTCTATTAGTCACCTCCCTTCCTATGTAGTTTTAGAGTATTTGTCAAAATTGACATCGATATAATAATATAAAATTTCATCGAAAATATAAATGCCGTATGTAATCTTAAGCCGTATTTACCTTCTGTCTTCTGTTATCAAACATATATTGATGTTTGTAATATTGCCTACATAATTGATGATTAGTCAGATTTCTTATAACAATTTTTTTCCTCGCTCAAGCGTTTGCGACTCCCAATGTGTAAATGTTTTGCTTTTACGTTTAATCCTTTTCGGTCATATGATTGCTCTTATTTAATGTCGTTTCTTTTATTGAATGACAAAAAAATACGTCCACGAAAGTTTAAATAATTATGTCTAACCCCTGGTGAGTATACTGCTTTGTTTGAGCAGCGGTGGCTCAGTTGATAGAGCGCTTTCCTCCCAATGACGTGAGAGAGGTTCAAATTCCGACAATGGATGGTCGATTCGAATTCTGTTCCCAGTTCTCACCGACAGCAGTGCTAATATGAAATATCCAGTGGTAAACGAATCATGGGTTCTCCTTTGCGTTGGGAGGTTTTCATGATTTTACCTCTCCATGTAACTCAAGTGCGGGTAAGTCCTTCACGAAGGCTAATTTGTCCCAGTGTTTGATCCAGGTGTATCTTTGTCTTCTGGGTTGAGTTCAAAATTACGAGGCTATGGAGTTGAACATAGGTAGACAAAAACTCAAAATTTTATCTGCAGCTCAACGCCGGTTGTAAAAAAATGCTTTTACTTCATTTTTGACAAGAATTTTAAAAATACGAATTTAAAGGAATGGATTGTGGAACACTCTCCATATAAATGCACTATGTGCAAAAAAAAAAGAAAAAAGAATATTTTTTCGATTTAATGAGTGAATCTTCTAGACAAAAAAAAATTAGGAAAAATACCTTTCTTTAAACTAGGGTGCGTAGCGTTTTTAAAAAGTGCTTAAAGGTGCTTATTTTCGATTTTCGTTTTTAAAAAACCTTTTAAGGTGCTTTTTTCATTGGGTGTTTTTAAAAAAGTGCTTAATTTTCCCTTTAACATTTGATTTTCGCTATGAATTGTGCGAAAAAAAAATAATAATAGTAATTCACATTTGTTCTATTCAATGTTTTCACAATTAATTCAACCCCAGTCTATTTTGGGCATATTGTCAGTCCGTAGCATATGAAAACGCCATTCATTTTGCATGACTCAAAATTTCATTATTTTTGACAATTGTCAAAAACAATGCCAAAAGTTTTTTTTTTTTGACATGATGGTTAAAACAAGATAAAACCGTCAGTTGTCAAATCTTTCCAACCCTGCCTAATAATATTTTTTTAAAGTGCTTAAAAATATTTTTTGAGTGCTTAAAAGGTGCTTATTTTTTGTTGAATAATTTGGCTACTCACCCTGTTAACGGATTCGGATTTTTGGCCTCGAAAACGTAATATTGAAAATATGGGTCCCATACCTTGTGCAGAAGAGCGCTCGAAAGATGAGTACCTAAAGTGTAATTTCACTTGCCCCATACTTCGCCACCTTTAATAAATCTTGTTTATAAATTTTTACAAATTTCTCTAGAACTATTCAATTTCCTTTAAAATTAAATTTGAATTTTGTCATTTTAAATTTTGTAGATTAAATTTGCTTTTAAAATTTATATACCTACCAATGTAAAATATATTCGTCTATTGTTTAGTATACATAATTATGAAAAGTAGTTCTTTTCGTCTCATCTTTTGACTAAAAAGTTTTGTAAATGTGTTCAAAATGTTTTGATTTGCCTAATCAGTTCCTATGATAAACTTTTGGTTTCATATTTTAAAGTTTGCTGCAAATTTGCATATTTTGAAGGTCATTAATTCAAGTCTGTAAAATGTATATTTATTAAGGGAAAGTAAGTTTTTTATTTCGCATTTTAAAATATCGTCTGCACTAATTAATAGACCTTCGAATCATTAATAGTTAGGGCTACTATGTGAAAATCCAGTCATTAAATCAGAATTAATTCAGAGTCTTAGCTATTTTATATTGCTCTCAGTACATTCTGTGTAATATTTTTTTTTTCATTTCTGACAAGGATTCTAAAAATATATATTAGAAGTAGGTTTGTGGAACATCCTTTATATACATTGGTGAATAATGTTTTTATTTAATTTCTCACAAAGTAATGTATATTAAGATACATATTATATCACTATATATAAGATATATATGAAAAAAATATATATCAAGAGTATTATTATATGGGATATGACTCGGAATTTTTTTTTTCTTGTAATTTTGATAGATCTTTAGGTCACATTAAATCAATTTTAAGTTAAACAAAAATTAAGAAAGCATTTGCAACAAATTTAAATCAAAAATAGAGTACATCGAAATATCATTATTTCAAAATTTCAGCGTTATAATTAATTCCATTTGTGATATTTTTTTTAAAAGTCTGCGTTTATATTTTTTATTATCTATTTACAATACTAATTAAAAACACATATTATTAAAATCATAATTTTTTTTTTGCCTGTTTGACCTTTGAACTATGTTTTCTTTGTAATCATAAATAACAGTAAATGTCTAAAAATTTAAAATAAAGTCGAACATTTATATTAATAATTATTTTTTCAGAATTTTATTATTTATTTTCCAATATCGCCTATTTCAGCCTATCGACTTTTAATTCGAATTATTTGGCAAGGTATTTCTACATAATTATTACAACCGGCGAAACAAAAATCGAGGGAAAAGCTTCCGTTATAAGTATTTTATCTTCATTAAGAAATATAAGTTACGAAATTATGTGTTATTTTGTACTAGAGTCTTATTACGCGTTATTTTATACCTGTTATCAGGATCATCCAAGTAGTGATTAAGTACACACCTCTTTAGTCAATCAATGCACGCATATTTCGTCCAGTGTGAAATTAATGGTGCTTGAAGTCATTTGATTATTCCAGAAAAGGCTTAATTGCTACTTCGAACTCTTATTTTTTTTCCTTGATAAATTTAATCAAAAAATATCTCCAAATTGAAGAACAGGTTCTGTCCATCTTTCTTTCTTTTAATTTCTTTTAGTATGTTTTTCACCGAACGCTTACCGAATTATTTTGAAATTATTTGATAGAAATCGAGTGTTTAAAATTAAAACAACATTCCAATTGCCACTTATAGGCTTTCAGCTTATAATAAAGATGAAAATGTCGTATATTGTAACTTTCAAATATAGACTTTGCTTTCATATAATTTAAAAACTACAGACTTAACCCTTTTTTTTTCTATGCAAAATCCAATGCTAAGATTTAAGGCGTCCGAAAATAGACCATGTCCTACATTTCTATTCAACGAAAATTTATGAGGGGTGCTTCATTGAAAAAATATTTTTTTTTGAAAATGAATTTTTAAATGTTTTCCTAGTATTTATTACGCTCAATAGATGTTGTTTTGGAGCTCTTTTCAGTTTCAGCTGACAAATAAATAAGTTTTGATGATTTTATCGCCTTATTTTCAGTAATTGAATCGATAATGATTCGTGCAATTTGCTGGTCGATAAGAATTCTGGATGCGGAATTCGTATCGAACAGCCATCCCTGGGATACGAACCCGGTTCAACCCTTTAGAAGGCGAACGCTCTATCCATTAAACCATCATGGCTCTGCTACGTACTATTGTAAAAAAAAAATAAAAAAAATAAATAAATAAAAAAATTAAGATTTACTGTTTCCGTGGTATAGTAGAAAGGAAATGGAAATATGGGGAATGTGGGAAAATTACGTAACCTGGAAATGCCTATTCTATTTACAAAAAATATAATCCTCTATCGAATTTGAGGGTGTAGTTTAAAAGCTGTTCCGATATAAAGATTAATTATTTTAGCCCCATTAGAAAAATAGACTATTTTGCTCATTACTTTTTTAGAAGAATCATATTGTGAAAGTACTAATCCTTCTATTTTTTTTAATTCTTGTCAAGACAGAAATGAAAACTATGCCCACAAAGAATCGCAAATTAGTTTTAAGCGAAAAAGATAAAGAAAAAAGTCTTACAAAACTAGCCTACTAACCTTCGACAGTAAAAAAATATTTATATATATATAATTTTTTAGATACATATATAAGCAAAGGCCATAATTGAAAGTAACAAACTTCATCCATACTCTTTGTACACAGAATAAGTGTCTCAATGTACGCGATTTCCCCACTCTCATCACTTTTCCCTTCTCCGTTACCATGGTATCCACAAATCTTGCTTTTTCTCCACGCCAGTATATTCCGAATTCTCACTGATACTTACTATCGTAGGGAAAAGGAAGGTTCTCCGTTTGTGGAGAGTGGGAAAATTACGCAATCTTAAGATGTTTATTTTATTCACAAAGAATAAAATATTCTATCAAATTTAAGAGCGTAGTTTAAAAGCGGTTTTGATAGAAAGATTAATCATTTTAAGTCCCATTTAAAAAATACTCTAGTTTACTCATTACATGAACTCTATTTTCAGGAGAATCATACTCTGAAAATACTACACCTTTTTTGAAAATACTACCTCTGAATATACACACTACTTTTACTTCATAATAAGTTTCATAAATCTTAGTTTTACATACAGATTTATTTGATAAAGGAGATATCTAACAACTATGCTTCGTATTAACTATGCATATTGATATAATCAAAATTATATGGTTAAAATATCGAAAGATTTTAATTTGTGTAAACTATACTCATTGATTTATACACAGAACTAGACGGTAACAGAAATATTATACATATATTCATCTTACATATTAATACTCAGAAATAAATGGCAGAAGAATGAATAGATAATAATTTGTGTAAACCATACTCATTGATTTATACACAGAACTATACGGTGACAGAAATATCATACATATTTATACTCGGAAATAAATGGCAGAAGAATGAAAAGATCATAATTTGTGTAAACCGTACTCATTGATTTATACACAGAACTAGACGGTAACAGAAATATCATACAGATTTATACTCGGAAATAAATGGCAGAAGAATGAATAGATCATAATTTGTGTAAATCATACTCATTGATTTATACACAGAACTATACGGTAACAGAAATATCATATATATCATATTTATCATACATATTTATACTCAGAAATAAATGGCAGAAGAATGAAAAGATCATAATTTGTGTAAATCATGCTCATTGATTTATACACAGAACTATACAGTAACAGAAATATCATACATATATTAATCATACATATTTTTATCTTCAGAAATAAATGGCAGAATTGATAATCGATTATGGTTTGTGTAAACCATACGCATTTTTAGATAGTAGGTGCATGCGACCCTTTTAATAAAGAAAACTTTAAGATAAACCAGTGAATAAAATAGCTGATTTCTTTTCCAATTGTAAGTGCATTCACACCAAGTTTCAGATTTTCTTTTTCTACTGTGATGTCTCATAACTTTATTTATTCTAATCAACAGTTTTGCTTGTCATAGTGAACTATCGTACAGTCTTATCTTCTATTGTCATTAATGTTAAAAAGCCAAAAACAATAGTTTGCTTTTTAGTTTCGATCATCCTTAAATTGATTTTCGGTAAGTACTATCCGTTTCTCTTTTTTAAAAATCATTTATTTTTAATTAAAACTCCACTGTATAGTAGAAGGTTTTTACAGAATTTACAGAAGCAATATCCCAAGCAAAGTAATTTTTAAAGTTTTACTCTTAATTTAACCCTCTGACGCAGAATTTTCTTAAGCATATTTTCCATTATTTTGTACTAATTTGGTACTACATAAGTGAAAAATGTTACATTTAGTATTTTAATAACTTATGGTTAAGAAGCGTAGCATGGCTCACTTCCTAACAATTTTTTTTTTCAAATTTGCAGTTATTTAGATTTAATAAAAGCAGTTATTCATCATTGAAATTTCTTAAAATCAATTATTAATAAAGTCTTGAATATGAGTGGGAAAAAAATTCAAACTACTTTATTTGGATTTCATATTTTAGTTCTAATAAACTAAAAGATTTTTTAGAAACTGTTAAACTGTTTTTTTATATTTAAAAAATACCAAAATATATTTTTGCTCGTAATTAGAGAGCCAGAAAAAAAGGGACGAAACTGGTATCCTATCTGCGTCAAAGGGTTAATAAAATTGTTACAAAATAATGTTAGCAACCAGAACGTATAAACAATATCAATATTTGGATTTAAGACACGGCGTGATGTTTACAAGTGTTTGTTCAAGTTAAAAGCTTCATCTGTTGTTCATATTCCGATTCACAATGTGAAATCTTTCGCAAAAAGCTTTTAAGTATTGTGATTATCTAAAAAAGGAAGGAAAAAAAGAGCTTCATATCATACGAAATTGTGAAAAATATCTATGAATGTATTCAGTTTTACTTTAATCTACTTACTTGTATTGAACAGGCATTTAAGTGTTAAATGATGAATATTTAAATAGCTGCCAATTAAAATTTTTGAGAAATGAAACGTTCGTATGACATTGGCGTAATCATATATTTTCTCTCCTAACAATACCTTCAATTTTTATTCTCCTAAAATCTAACAGAGTATATATTTTTGCTAGTTTTAAGTTCGTAGACCTTAAATGAAGTGGTACGTTGGCCCTTTCACACTTGAAAGCAATGAAATAAAATGTAAAGATGTTTCAAAAAACAATATTTGGTATTACTTTAGATCGAAATAAAACAGAAAAAAAAATTTAAAAAAAAAAGCTTAAAAATGGTAGCAGTAATTTTTCTCGCAATTGTGATTGTTATTGTAATACCATAAAGACAAAAAAAAAAAACGAAAGAAAAAAACAATTAAAAGAGTCCATATAAGCCAATTTATATTGATAGAAACGAACGAAATGGACAGAAATTCTTAATTATCATAATGGCAGAGGGTTAATAGTTACTTACGGATAGAAACTAGTTTAAGTATAATAACGCAATACTAAAGTTTTTAGAAGGATGAACATTGGCTGAACTAGAACAGATAAATTCAGTGTTACAAAAAGATGACAAATAAGCTTAATAATAATGACTGAATTTGAGAGTTACGAAAGGGATAAATATTATAGCTTTAGTATAATGACTTAGTGTTATAGTTACGAAAAGGACAAAAGTTAGCCTACCTATAATGACAGGTTTTAACTCTTTTAGAGTTACGAAAGAGACAAAAATTTGTTGAATTAAAATGAAAAGATAAAGTAACGAAAAAGGAAAATATCAGCTTAATTATAATTATGTTAGAGTTACTAAAGGTTAGAAATTAGCTTAAATATAATGACAGAATATGAAAGTTTAGAAAAGGACAGGCATTTGCTTAGTTGTGAGGACGGAATTTACAGTGACGAAAAGGTTAGAAATATGCTTAACTATAATAACTGAATGTAAATGTTAAGAAAAGGATGAGAATTAGCTAAATTATCATGACAGAATGCGATCGTTACGAAAGGGGAAAAAACAGTCTGATAGAATTTAGGAGTTACAAAAAAAGGCTAAAGTTTACTTAAATAAAATGAAACGATGTTAGAGTAACAAAAATTGCAGATGTTAGATTAATTATAATAATGAAAGAAAGCTATAGTTACTAAATGATAGAAATTAGTTTGACTATAATGACAGAATATTGAAGTTTAGAAAGAGGGACAAAATTTGCTTAGTTGTGAGGACGGAATTTGGAGTGACGAAAAGGTTAGAAATATGCTTAACTATAATAACTGAATGCAAATGTTAAAAAAAAGATAAGCATTAGCTTAATTATAATGATAAAATGCATGAAAACGACAGAAGCTAGCACACTGACCAGGATTAAAGAGATACAAAAAAAGACGAAAGTTTACTTAATTAAAATGAAACAATGATAGAGTGACGAAAAGGTTAGAAATATGCTTAACTATAATAACTGAATGTAAATGTTCAGAAAAGGATAAGCATTAGCTTAAGTATCATGACAGAATATAAAAGTTTCGAAAGAGACAGACATTTGTTTAAGTGTAAAGATAGTTACGACAAAAATTGACATACTAGGCAGCAGAAACTAGAATAGGAGAGAAACAAGCATTCTCATAAATTCAAGATATTAAAGCCCAGAAAAAGATAAAAATTTGCTTAATTAAAATTAAAGGCCAGCTTAACGAAAAGGATAAACATTAACTCAATAATAATGATAGAGATGTGAAAAAGACGGAAATTAATTTTTAATTTATGCTATTAATTCATTTTAGATACTAATTCAGAAAAATGGCAATTATCATAAGCATTTTGGTGATCATCCTCTGCTATACAACACTAGTTGTCTCAAAGTGGGCGATAGGCAGATATAAAAAGCATAGATTGCTGAAACAATATGGCATTCCAGGACCCAAACCAGATTTCTTCACTGGTAATCTTGAGCAACTTAAAAAAGAACCAACTCCGAATGGTGTTATCACTGGATGGTTAAAGAAATACGGAAATGTTTTCGGATACTACATGGGGGATTTACCATTTATTGTCATAAATGATTTAGAGATGTTGAAACAGGTAAGAAAATGTGTTAAGTAAAAGTCAATTTACGATCGTTTTTTCGTCATTATCTGTTTTAAAGATGCAAAAGGAGTCAAGAAAATTCTGTATTAAGTAAATTTCAATTTATGATAGTTAGAATGTTGTAACAGGCTGTAATGATTAGATAATGAGTAGATAATAGTGTATTAGATAATGTATTAGGTAATGTATAGATAATGCATAAATTAATAGAATGTTGTAATGATTTTATTTGTTATCACGATTTATGAATGCTAAAATAACTCAGTGAATATTGTAAGTAAAATTCAATCACTATCATGATGAAAAGATTATAAAGCAGGAAAAAAAAAGGATATAGTTCTAACAATGCGACAAATAATGGTTTTTATATCTATCATAATTTTGAACTTTTAATATAGTTAAGAAAAATTTATGCTGCCTAAATATCAATTTATAATTTTAAAAACTATCACGAATGCAAATTTTTAAGACAGGTAGGGAATGTAGTGCTAAGAAAATATCAATAAATGATTTAATTCTCTTAAATCAATGAATAATATAAGACACGGCATCAAAGCGTAATACTAGATCAAACATTTCGTTAGCTTCAAAAATATACAAATTGGAAATAACAGTCGTCATGTTTCAAGTGCTCATAAAACGGGTGCCCATTTTCCAAACTGGAATGAGGAAAAACAAAAGTGATTTGAATTATAAAACGTAAACTTGCCAATGAAAAACTGAAACGTGTCGACTGTTATTTTTAATTTGTATATTCTTGAACCGATTTAAGTTTTTAATCTAAAAATATCTTACCACTTCAGTTTCGTAGGATTATTTATTTAGTGTCAAAGCATTGTTAAATAGATATTGTGCTTAATTAGTAATAAATTAACAAATCAGGGGTTTTAATTATTTACCCTATTTAAAAAATAAGTTTAAAAAATGGAGTTAAAAATAAGTAATAAAATGTTACATTAATATTAATGTGGTACTTCAAATATAGATAAATGATTTTAATGAAAAAAACTGATTTTGTGATATTATAATAGATTGGAAAACGTGGTATTACTAAATTAATCTAGATAAGATATATAGATATATAAGATATTGAAATAGGTTAGATATAGATATAAAAAATCTGATTTCGTGATATTATAATAGATTGGTAAACGTGTCACTACTAACTAGATAGGATATATAGAATATATAGATATATAAGATGTTGAAATAGGTTAGATATAGATATAAAAAAAACTGATTTCGTGATATTATAATAGATCGGAAAACGTGGTACTACTAAATAAATCTAGATAAGATATATAGATACATAAGATATTGAAATAGGTTAGATATAGATATAAAAAATCTGACTTCGTGATATTATTATAGATTGAAAAACTTGGTACTAAATCAATATAGATAAGATATATAAGATGTGGTGCTAAGTTAACTCAAAATTTAGGATTTTTATCAATAAAAACCGAAGATATTTTTCATTTCAAAATCAGATATGAGTGCCTCGATTAAATATGATGGGCAATGCAAAAATAAAAGGTACGAAGTTTTGTAATTTTAAAAGTTAAAAAAATAAACATTTCCACAACTTAAGAATATATATTCGATACATTTGAGCACGTAACACTGTAAAAATCTGAAATGCAGTGAATATCGACTTTTTATTATAAATATCGAAACTGGTATGGTTACTTTCGTGAACGGCTGAAATATTTATGGCGTCTTATCTGATATTTTAGTATTTATTTGATATTAATAATATCCTATTACGACAGATTTGGAAAAAATATCAGCGTAAGGAATACCGGGCTCGCCTTTAACCTCAAAAAATATCGGTGCGGGGAATACATGGTGCATGGTGCAGTAATCACATTGCCCAATATACACTGAATAATGAGACGAATTTTCAGGAAATTTACGAAAACGACAATGTGAATGTCAATATTCCCATAAGATTGTCGACATTCACTAATTTCGGTCTTTTACAGTAACATAAATACAAAGGAAAAGAAATTACAAATTTACTTCTTGTAAACTAAACCAGATAACTCTTACATGTAATTAATCAATATTTATTAATATTTATTTGATATTAACATTATCCAAGGGTACATTAGAAAAAATGATTGAGAATGCAAGACAATTGATCTAAGCCATATGAAAATTATCAACGTAGAAAATACCGGGCTAGAGCTTACCTGGTCATTATTCTGGTTAATCACGTTTTTTGGTAAATGTGATAAAAAAAATTGTATTAACCACAATGCAAAATATTTCGTATAATTCAGAAATATTTTTCGCAAAACTAAACCGGATCTCTAAGGCTAATAACCAATTATTATTAGTCATTATTTATTTCATATTAACTATATTCTAATAAGATAGGTTGGAGAAAAAAAACATCAGGCAGAGATATTCCAAGGTTAACAGGATAAAACTTAATTTTATAACTTCATAGTTAATTGTTCTTTATTTGTAGGTAATGATAAAAGATTTTCATGTTTTTGAAAATCGTCCTGCCATGGTTATAGACATGAAACCGATAGACCAATCAATTCTGTGCGTTGAAGGAAAGAGATGGAAAGAAGTTCGGTCACTTCTCACGCCGACTTTCAGCTCTGGCAAAATTAAACTCATGTCAAATATCGTCACAAAAAAGGTATTATTCTTCATTATTTGATCTCATTTTCTTTTCAATTTCAATTCAACATTGTTGCCAAGGAGTTATAGAGTGTATACAGCTCCACAATGTCATAACTAAAGGCCTGGTTTCTTAGGACAGGTCGGCGTTACAAAACGTCAGTTTGAAGCGAGCGCTAACCCTTGATTGGTCAATTTGTGAGTTAGACAGCATACGTCATCGAACGCTCAGCTTGAACGACGACNAAATATAGATAAATGATTTTAATGAAAAAAACTGATTTTGTGATATTATAATAGATTGGAAAAAGTAGTACTACTAAATAAATCTGGATAAGATATATTACATATTGAAAAAGGTTAGATATAGATATAAAAAATCTGATTTCGTGATATTATAATAGATTGGAAAATGCGGTACTAAATAAATATAGATAAGATATATAAGATATTGAAATAGGTTAGATATAGATATAAAAAAAATCTGATTTCGTGATATTATAATAGATTGGAAAACTTGGTACTAAATCAATATACATAAGATATAATAGATATTGAAATAGGTTATATAAGAAAATGTGGTACTAAGTTAACTTAAATTTAGGATTTTAATCAATAAAAACCGAAGATTATTTTTCATTTCAATATCAGATATGAGTGCTTCGATTAAATATGATGGGCAATGTAAAAATAAAGGGTACGAAGTTTTATAATTTTAAAAGTTAAAAAAATAAACATTTCCACAACTTAAGAATATATATAGAATACATTTAAGCACGTAACACTGTAAAAGTCTGAAATGCAGTGAATATCGACTTTTTATTATAAGTATCGAAACTGGTATGGTTAATTTCGTGAACACCTGAAATATTTATGGTGTCTTATTTGATATTCTAGTATTTATTTGATATTAATAATATCCTATTACGATAGATGTGGAAAAATATCAGTGTAAGGAATACCGGGCTAGTGTATAATCGGCAATTGCCTTTAACCTTAAAAAATACCGGTGCGGGGAATACAGGGTGATTGAAAATATCTATGTAGAACTAGTATTCCGGTAAACGAGGTTATTAGTATTATTGTGATAAAAAATTTATATTAATCACATTGCACACTGAATATTAATCACATTATACACTGAATAATGAGACGAATTTTCAGGAAATTTACAAAAACGACAATGTGAATGTCGATATTCCCATAAGATTGTCAACATTCACTAATTTCGGCCTTTTACAGTAACATAAATACAAAGGAAAATAAATCACAAATTCACTTCTTGTAAATTAAACCAGCTAACTCTTGCATGTAATTAATCAATATTTATTATTATTTATTTGATATTAACATTAACCTATTAGGGTACATTAGAAAAATTGTAAGAATTGAAAATGTTAGGCAATTGATCAAAACCGTATAAAAATTATCAACGTAGGAAATACCGGGCTAGAGCATATCGGGTTATTATTCTGGTTAATCCCGTTATTATTAAGAATAACTACGTTTTTTTGGTAAATGTGATAAAAAAAATTTGTATTAATCACAATGCAAAATATTTCGTATAATTCAGAAATGTTCTTCGCAAAATTAAACCGGATCTCCCAGGCTAATAAACAATTATTATTAGTCATTATTTATTTTATATTAACTATATCCTGATAAAATATATTGGAGGAAAAAAACATTAGGCAGAGATATTCCAAGGTTAACAGGATAAAACTCAATTTTTATAACTTCATAGTTATTTGTTCTTTAATTGTAGGTAATGATTAAAGATTTTCATGTTTTTGAAAATCGTCCTGCCATGGTTGTAGACATGAAACCGATAGACCAATCAATTCTGTGCGTTGAAGGAAAGCGATGGAAAGAAGTTCGGTCACTTCTCACGCCGACTTTCAGCTCTGGCAAAATCAAACTCATGTCAAATATCGTCACAAAAAAGGTATTATTTGCTCTCATTATTTTAGATGATTTCTACTTTTTTTTCAATTTCAATTCAGTATTGTTTGCCAAGGGGTTAGAGAGTTTATACAGCTCCACAATGTCATAACTAATGGCCTGGTTTCTTAGGACAGGTCGGTGTTACAAAACGTCAGTTTGAAGCGAGAGCTAACCCCTGATTGGTCAATTTGTGAGTTAGACAGCATACGTCATCGAATGCTCAGCTTGAACGACGACTGAACCGAATCAACTGCAGTTGGATTACAACGTAACGTTAACGACAGAAGCAATGGCGGACAACGTCCAACAGATCATTTAAATCAGCCAAGATTTGGATTTTAACATTAAACATAGCTTCTTCTGCATTTAGCTAAGCTATAATGTGTTTTTTCTTGGACAAAGTCATTATTTGTTCTCTAAACCACTGGTCGACAATAACAAAATGAATACAAATTCAAAATATATAGATTGTTTACGTTATTAACGCATGCGCGCGCAATGCGAGATAATGACTGCGTTGGACAGATTGCTCACGCTGAGCTAACAAAACCATATATTGTTGGCGTCAGCAGTACGTCAACTTCCCGCTGACTCCCAGAGAAGGCGCTTGTCTTAAGAAACAAGGTCTTAACGACATGAAAGTGGTGTTGTGGTTAGTATTGAGCAGACGCCCCCTTTACACTTTTCAGAAAAGTTATAACCCATCGAACTGGTAAGCTTTAAACCACCACTAGCAATCGAACCTTTATTCTTCACAATGACAGTTCAATGCCTCAACTACTGACCCATTCCGGCTTATCCAAAAAGTACAATAGAGTGATTTAGCACTTTCACGTTGCGTCCCACACTTCCACATGTACTTCCACTCATTTACGCCATGTTGCACCTGAACAATCTCGTCAATTCACTACAGAGCTTACGCAAAACACGTAAAAGTGCAAAATTCATTTAATATTTAAACAGGCAACTTAAGTTTTCCAAATTTCCTGGAATTACCTTTACTTATTTAACTATGTCTTATTAATTTAAAAATAAACATGAATTGATTTTGTTTTGGTTTTGATGAAGTGACTTATGCATCAACAGGTTGATGTTACTGTCGCTGAAGCCACAAAAAAAGCAGAGAGGAATGAGCCATTCGATATCTACAACTTGGTCCAGGGTTTAACGCTGGATGTCATAGCAGACTGTGCATTTGCGATGAAGACGCACTGTCAAGAAAATACCAAAGACGAATTCTTAGTTGCCGTGAGTCACATTAAAAAGCATTTTGCCTTCATTTTTAACTTATCCTTCAAAATCCACCCAAAGCAGTTTTTTTCCTCCTTTTAAATTTATAGGTACGTAAATTCCTTGATGATTCTCACAATAGAGCTGTGGAGTATGCTTATATGTTCCCATTTGTGAGGCCACTCATGAATGTTCTCCTCAATTACACGACAGTTGGAAAGATGTCAACATTAATAGCAAACAATGTGACCCAAGCCATTAGAACCAGGCAGGAAAACTCACACATTAGGAGCATGGACCTTTTACAACTGATGATAGACTACAGTAAAAAAGGTAGTACAGTCTATATTGTAATTTATTATAATATATCACCAATTATCGCCTAGACCACACAATGGGGCAGAAATATTGTCGCATAGTCTATACTACGACCAATTATCTCTATATATATATTTCTCTTACATGGCGACAAAAAATGCCTCATGACTCCCCGAATGGCAACGCTAGAAAATCAACCAATGATTGCCGCTAAAAATGTCACATGCCAAATCCGAGGTGGCTTAACATATAGCGCTTTTAAAAACGGAAACTGAAATGACCAGAAAGAGCATTCTCACCAAATGTGATCTCTTCCGAAATTCACCCTATCAGCTGCTGCAATCTCATACTATTAAGCTAGGCAGAAGTGAGTAGTCTTTGTCGATAGATCTCTATTTAAGTATTTTGTCGAAAGCGCTTTTTTTCACGAATTTATATATTACGAATTTATTTGCCAATTTTTGATTTATATCACGAATTTATTTGTTTTATTATTGTTATTAGTTATTCATTGAATTCAAATTTATTTTAATCACTTAGTATTTACTAAAAAGATGTAATTTTTTTTTAAAAAAAAAGGAAAGTTGTTATATGGATTTGAATGATTGTTTTGAATTCTTAGTATTTTGCGCATTTGCAATGTACCTAAGTTAGTAGCGAGCGGAGCGAGCTATGTTTACGAAGCCATAAGATTACCATAACCATACTTAGCCATAAGATTACCATAATAAGATTACCATTACGAAGCCATAAGATTACCATAACCAAGATTACCATGTACCATAAGATTGCGTGGCAATTTTCGGGGGTTGGCGAGCAGGGGACGCAGCCCACTAGTTTGAACTAATGCGTCAATTTATTGTCTACAATCTGTGGTTATGCGCCAATTCTCCGCGTACAGTTAGTTCATTATGATGATACTTCTTTGTGAGCTAATACATTGTGAAGGCAATTTATATCGATTTGTTGCAGTGAAAACACTGGGGAGGGAGTAATTTTTTTCCTGTTTCATGCAATTTTTAACAGATCTTAAATGCTTTCGCATCGCTGATTTCAAAGCTGGTTCCCAGCTAGGGCTGGTCGATATGAATTCCACATCCGGCTTGCACCAACCACAGTGCTAACGTGAAATACCCTCAGTGGTAGACGGATCTTGGTTTAGAGTCCCTTCATCGTCAGGCTAACCGTGGGTGGCTCTCGTGGTCTTCCTCTCCATGTAACGCTAATGCGGGTTAGTTCCGTCAAAAAAAGTCATCCAGGAGAGCTTGTTTCTCCCAATACTTAATCTAGAAGTTCCCTTGACTTTTGGGTTGAATTCAAAATTAAAAGGCTATGGAGTTGAACATTGATAGTCGTGAACTCGAAATTGGGTCGGCGGTTCAACGCCGGTTATTGAGTGATGAAGTGATGTCTCTTTTTTTTGCTATATTAACACAAGAAATGAAAGTAAATGTCTCCCATTTTGGCCTTCTTCGTATATTACAGCTCACTTAAACAGCAAAAGAATGTATTTTCGTCAACAAAAAAAAAAAATTTCGCAATAGCAGGAGTTTTTAGTATGTAACATACAATTTTTGTGTTTTTAATATTAGCATTTTCACGGTGACTTGAAGATTTGTCGTAATAGCAAACTTCTCGTAGTAAACAAAATAAAATCGCACACAGTAATTTTTGCCAATCAGTTTTATTAAACTATAAAAAAGGGCATTTTACAAAATAATGTGCGAGAAAATTTTCCCTATATTGAAAATTTATTCAATAATCCATTTAATCAATATTTTTAGTATCTAAATTTAAATTTCAGAACTGTGTGTGAGAATTACCAAGTAGTTTATAAATTGGGAAAGGTAACATTGAATTTTTTTACTTCTTATTGTGTAAGAGGGAAATTTGATGAAACGTACGGCATAAAAGACTCATTTGCATAAAAATGTCTTCTAAAATCAATCGTGTAAAACTCTCATTAGAATAGAAAAATCTTTAGATCTCTTGTGTGGCACGCATAGAAAAAAATTTACATTAATAAGTAACGAACACTGAGTGAAATACAGAAATAACAAAAAAGTCTTGTTATTCGGATTTCAGACAATGATAGATTTACTTTTTTTTCGCTACCCATTTTTTTTTAAATGATTGAATTGAATCACCCTTTGAATTGCTTAAAGTTACTTTTTTTTATTTAATTCAACAAACTATTCAAGACTTGTCTGAGTTTTTAATCTATGTCTATTATTCAGATAAGGCAGAAGGAAGTTCTGGCATGACAGATGAAGAGATCGTCGCCAATGCTTATATCTTTCTACTAGCTGGCTATGAAACAACAGCCACTGCTCTAGGCTTTACGTTCTATTTGCTGATAACACATCCAGAAGTGCAAGAGCGTCTTTTCCAAGAAATAGATGCAGCTGAAGATTGTGACTATGCTACTCTTCAAAGTAATTATCAGTGATTAATATGTTACTGGGTGTGGCGTAGCTACCACTGCAGTTATTAAACATCAGTTCACTAGTATATAAAACACGCTGACCTTCACATGACCTTCAGACGTGACATGATCCACTTTGAACAGTTGACTTGCTAATTGTGATTATATATCATACTCCTCACGTTGTTGCTGCTTTGTCTCATTTGCAAACAACGGGATTCTGCACACATTCGACTGCTAATAGCAACACAGAAGAGCTCACACACACACACTGCCGTGATCTCACCACGAGCTCTCAAAATCCAGTGAACTTAATACAGCTCTGCCGGTCTTTCGCAAATAAGCCAACTATACTAGAATGCAAAGTTTCTTGACAATGACGTCACGGCTGGCGGAGGAAGAAGGAGAAATAAGTTCAGTCGTTATATAGAAGAAATATAACTAAATAAAGATACCATTCCGCGATGAGCCTCTCGTAAATCTGAAAATATATAAAATTTTAAGAAAATTATAGCAAATTAACGCTATATATGTGTGGGTTAAGATAACTTATCATATTTCTATTGTGAAATGCGTAATTTTCCTCCAAATACAGACATCGCGCCAGGAACTATTTTCTCCGTTTTCCCTCAGCATATTTCTCCATTGTCAAGAAACATTGCAGTTTAGTATAGTGGTATCCGTTTAACAAATTCTTTTCCTGGTAAAATTCTGTTGGGGGAGTATTGTGGGGTATCTACCACTACAATTATTAAACATCAATTCATTAATATATAAGACCTGCTAACTCGAATCAATCTGGAGGTACCTCTTGATAGGTGAAGGTTGGTATTGTCGATTTCTACCCTCCCCACACTGGGAAAGAGTAAGAAAAAGCTGAATATAACAGTTTCCTTGCCCATGAAATTTTATCGATATTCACATGAGATTTTATCTGGGTAAAATTAAAAATTGGCGAGAAAGGTAATGACATTGGCTACATTTCTTGAAGTTATTCTACACGCTGCATTGAGAAAGTTATTCTACACGCTGAATTTTCAGTACAAAAATACGCTTGATTACAAACAATTGAAAATCTGTAACACATAGTTTAATTCAGGGTCACGATTATCTAATGATTATAACAAGGAATCATATGAATCATGAATACAAACACTCATATAATCATACTTACAATTACACTGCTTTTTTATCATTTCGGTATATAAGTTGAAAATTCAAAGAAATTTTAATTCCATTTCTTTCAATATAACAAGTATATGTCGAAAATGATGCTGAAATAATTATATTCCAGAGGAAGTTTCAGTATTTTTCATAATACCGAAAAATTGATTTGTATTTGCAAATTCCATTGATCATTATCCATTGATTTCATGACAATCATTATTCTTTGTTTTCCATTATCATAATTATATGTAATTGATTCATGATTTCAATATGAATTATTAGCATTAATCAATACTACAACCAATGTATCATCTTGTAAATAATTAGAGTTTTACTTAAGAGTGTTGTTAGAGAGAGTTTAAGTAGAGTTGGACATAACTTACCCGTTTTAGTAAGTTATGTCCAAATCAGGCAAATTAGGCATTCGGTACAAAATTAAAATAAGATCATTGATTGAGCTATAAAGAAATATCTAAATCTTATGAAAACCAAAATATAAAATTTCAATACCCAAGATGATCGTAATTCATGCTAATAATAAATTCGATGAATTTGATAAATTCGAGATTGGAAAAGTTTCAATAATGATAATAATCAAGCTACCTAATTTTAAAAATGAAGAGAAATGGAAAAAAAGTTAAATTTTCGAACTCTAATTTAGGACACGTTGAATGTAACTCTGCAAAGGTTCTTATAAAAATTATATTTTTTCACTGATTTAATTAAAATAATCCGTTACTCTACAAATAAATTGATTTTGCAAGCTGTTAAACAAAGGGGAAAATATATAAATTAACTAATTGAAACAGACTAACATGCATGTTAGCTAACACTTCAACTGAGTTTTTTTTAAAATTATGTCAGCTGTCCTCTTTTAAATATTTGATCTTTGTTTTATTCTGTTTTAATTTTCGTCCTTACTGTCTTTAGATAAAGAAGGTGTAGTTATTTCAAAATTCTCTAATTATTTAAAAATATATAGAAAACTTAAATATTTTTAAACAAAATCTTGGTTGTTATGAACTCTAACAAAAATTTAAAGAGTTGTTGCGATTCATCTGAGGTTGTTTTGAGGTGCAAAGTTGATTTGAAGTTGACTTAAAAAACAGCCATTGAAAGTCAACTTCCAGAGGTTTATAATCAAGGTGTAAGAAGTTGTTTTATTCACACTTGAGGTTGCTTTGAGGTTGACAGGAATCTACCTTAGAGCAACCAGCTAAGTGAGGTTGTTTTTGAGAGGTAAATGCTATTTTTTTTACACTTCAATCAAATAAATATGAGGTGTGGATAGTTTCACCCGATTTCAACTCAAAGTTTAGCTGATCTATAAATGAGGTTGATTTTATGAGGTGTAAATGAGGTAGATTTTATGCAGTGTAAATGAGGTTTAAATTAAGGTTTATTGATGAGGTTGTTTTTGTTGCAAAACATGACCTCATACATACCTCAGGTGTATTTTTTTACACATATCATTCTCAAAAAATTCCATATTTTTTTGTAAGGACATCTAAACTTTTTTTTTTCAATGAAGTTTTGGAAGGTTTGGCTTCTATGATTGGGAAAAGAGTAGTTTTAATTTTTTGCATGATTTGGACATAATTTTTAATTTTTGACTGTGATCACCAGTGTAGGCAGCACAATTTCCGATGCAAATTAAACTACTTGAATTAACCTAACATTAATTCCGTTTAATAGAAATAATTATGTAAATATTTTTAAGTAATATTAGTGATATTTACTTTACAAAATTATAAAAAATTTTTTTTTGCAGGTTTGCAGTATTTAGATCAAGTTTTCAACGAATCTCTCCGTCTTTATCCTCCATTAACGGGATTCATTACCAGAGCATGCGCACAAGACCACCAGGTCGGTAAATTTACAATTCCCAAAGGATCACATGTTTATGCTCCCATATGGGATATACAACACGATCCTGATTTGTGGCCTGATCCATGGACGTTTGATCCTGAACGCTTCTCTCCAGAAAACAAAGGATCCATAAACAGCATGGCTTTTTTTCCATTTGGTATTGGACCTAGAAACTGCGTTGGCGCTCGGTTTGCTCAACTCGAGGCCAAATTGGCTATATTTAAACTTTTGAAGAAATTCAAATTTGAGATGTGTGAAAAAACAGATCATCCCATAAGTATCATTTGTCCCACCGTTATCATCAATCCTGCAAATGGAGTCTGGTTGAAGGCTGTTCCAAGAACTGCGTAGATACTGTGTATAATGAAACTTGTATTCGTAGAATTACGAAGAAAAATGTAGTATAATAGAATCTTGTAAATAAATGTTTTATGTTCAAATATCAAATTTGGGAGGAAAAACTCTTTACTACACTCTGTAACAAAAAACTAGACGCACCAAGAAGGAGTCGTCCGATTGAAACGAAAACTGATGGATAGGAAGACAATGTACAGAATAGTAAATGATTAAAATTTCAGAACAATTGAATAATTTATTGCAGAATTACAGTAACAAGTTCAATAAGGTGTTGATCCGCCTCTAGCCAGGATACAAGCTGCCACACGGCGTGGCATAGACCGATAAAGCTCCCGGATGGTCTCTTGCGGTATTTCCTGCCAAATTCGATCCAATTGTCGAACGAGGTCATCAACATTACATGCCAAATGCAATCGCCTTCCCATCATATACCAGACATGCTCGATGGGAGAGAGATCTGGTGATCTGGCAGCTTGCAGAAGAGTTTGACAAACTTGCAGACAGTTCATAGCAACACGTGCCGTATGTGGTCTGGTATTGTCCTGCTGAAAAACCAGCCCAGGAAGCTGCAAAAGGAACGGTAGCAAAACAGGTCTTAGGATATCGTCGACGTAGCGCTGTGCGGTAAGTGTACCTCTAATGACGACCAAAGGGGTCCGGCTGTCAAAGGAAATGGCACCCCAGACCATAATGCCCTGTTGAGGGCTAGTGGGGCGTGCAATAGTGAAGGCAGGATCCACCCTCTACCCCGTGCGTCTCCAAACACGTCTTCGATGATCGTCAGGACACAGTTGGAAGCGGGATTCGTCGCTAAAGACTATACGTCCCCAGTCGGCATCATTCCAGCC